AAGCAATTTCTGTTATTGTCTATGGAGTCACAAATACCTGTATTACCAAACATCGTCTAAGTAATTTATTTACTTGCTTTGAAACGGACTTTCTTTTCATAATTAATAAAATTCTTAGTTTTCTATTCGTCCTTTAAAGCAATGAATAACGAACTGAGAGTAGGAGAATTATGAATAAATTTTATTTAGGTAATGTAACTTCGACGGGGAATGAAAATTCAAAAAATCTTTATCTTTACTTTGAAAAGGATTTGACAAGTAATGGCAAATGTACTAAAAGTAACGAAATCAGGTGTTTAATAACTTGATAAACATTGTCTGAAGAAAAATGCCAAGCAAATCCCTCAAATTGTCCACTAAAACGAAATTTTCCTTTCAAATAATTGGAAACTAGTGCATCCACAATTTGTCACAGAAGTTATTTTTAGAGTCCTATCTAGATTTCTTTTCTTTAGCATCTAATCTTGAGAATTTTTTTAGTAAAAAATCATGTCATGCATACATGACATTGATTCTTCATAATTTCTTAGTAGACGAGTTAAATGTTTGTTTTTCTATACGAAAACTACAAAAGATACGATGGATACATTTGGTTAATTCCTATCCCTGTTAAATATTGTTTTTGGTGGGGTCAGGCATGCCATCGACGAGACTTTTGCACCAGGTACAAAGACGTGTCAACGACCCGGTCGATTATATTCGGTCCAATCCTTCACATTATAACAGGTCTCTGACTCCTGGTTTCTACGTTTACTCTTCCTTCGCTTCCTTCGTTGCGTGCCCGAGAAACTCGTGTCCCGTACATTGATGACTGCCCAATTAGCGAAACCAATTCATTATAACATAATCCTCTCTCATGGTTCCTGCCTCGTGCCTTCGAAAATCGATAATGTGACAGACCCGTCTCTTCGTGTTAATAGCTACTCCCATATTGCTAATGCCTATTGCACGAATTGGCCCCTTCGATACGCGTCGATTACGTATTCCTTCACTAGCTGATACCCATTTAACTTCTTAAACTTTATTTCCAACAAACCGTGTCAGGAAACTCCTCAAAATTAAATTTAAAAATATTTTTACAAACAGAAAGTGAAAAGGATCGACAAAATTCTGATAAAGTGTTCCTTGTTTTTTAAATAATTATTCTATCATAAATGTTCGAATAATTGCCATTCCACGACAGTATACAAAAATGATTCGAAATTTTTATTTTGTATCGCTCAATTTTCTAATAATCCCAGTCGTAAAAATATCTAAACAGTTTATATTGAAAATCATCCGCGATTAAAATTACTGTACCGATTTAATCGTAGGGATAGAATTTAATGAATGTGCTATACGTTACGCGATTTTTTGCCGTTGGTACGAAAATCAAGGCTGCGTCAGATAATCGGGGATGCTATAAAGATTCACGATTCGATAGCGCTTAATACTGAAGCATTCTGCGTTCACCGATACGATGTTCATAAGTGCAACACCTGGAGAAAATGTCCAAGTCATTATCTATGAGATAAACATTCTGAGATCTTGTCTGAAATTATGATTCCTCCGGTAAGAAGTAGTCTCATTAAACAGAATGTCTGGGCTTACGTTGTGCCTCGACTATTATAGAAACGTACGTAAGCGTGAAGATCTTAATCGTTCATTAATGTTTCAGCGTAAACTTGAGATATTATTTTAAATATTTATTAAACTTCGTTACACGTTGAATTTAGTATTCTTTTTTACGTCATGGATGATAATGGGGATCCAAATTATTTTATACTGACACAAGCAACCCCTTGTGTTTGTGATATTCCTATAACTGTTATTTTTACCCAATCGAACGGATTTTATTTATTTGTGATCACTTAGAAATATTTTTTAATAAATTTAAATGTTCGTCGTCGTCCATAAAATCGAATTTACTAGCAACAGTGCTTAAATTGACGCCGTTAGACATGATTCTGTATTTCGTTTGAACTTCGTAAAGGATTTTATTTGCAAAGAAGAGAATAAAAACATCTTCCATTTGGTGGAAGAAATATTCTTGTCTCGTTAAATATAAACAAATTTTAATAGTTAAAAATTGAATATTTATAGGGTGCAATTATTTTACATTCCCCATTCTACTGCACTACCGATTGTTATTATAATATTTTAATATTGTAATCAGTGTTAAAGGAGAGTTCCGTTTTGGGAAACTGAGAAAGGAGGATGTTAAAAAAGTGCTGTACCTTGCCAGGCACCTAAACTAATTATAAGGCATCATTCTACAGATTCTGCACTTCGAATTGTGCACAATTGTTCAACCACATTTTTCACGACTTTCCCATCACATTTGCTATAAACAATTGTGTACAATTCGAAGTGCAGAATCTGTAGAATGATGCCTTATAGTTATTTTAGGTGCCTGGCGGGGTATAAATTTGGTACTTTGTTAACATCCTCCTTTCCACCGACGAAAATTGCGATTGTTTTAATTGATGCGTTCGTCCGGAGTGACGCGTTACAAGAAAAATTGTCGAAATTAAAACGAGGCAGTTGGCACGCAGCCCACACACTTTACGTTTTCATTAAGTTCATGCGTACACGGTGAAAAGTAATTTGTCCGAGGCACGTGAAAGGAGTGAAATTACACGAACGTTCTATAAGGCGGTCGTAGACAGACGCAATAGCGCACTGGATACGTTTTGTTATGTCGCTTTCGTTTTAATTGCCGACCCTTGCAAATCGTGCTGAAAATACCGTGTCCCTGAACGAGCGAGAAAATATGCAAAAACGTTTAATTAGCTCGAACGTTAGCTATACTTTTGAAAAGTTTTAATAGGTACCTTCCCTTTGCTATGCGAATTGCTCGTTTCAGGTTCGATAAGACCTCGATATTTTTACGTAACGAACGCGGTAGTTTCAAATTCTTTACGCTAATTTGGCGCGGAAGTCTATTTGTTTATTAAAAAGACGCAACGCAATTACCCGAGTCGGCCGGTAGTTTATTTATCCCGGCGAAAAGCAGTTTCTTCTATCTAATTAATTAACCAATTAAGATTCGAGGAAAGGGCATTCGTACCTCATTGAAGAAGCATCCACAGTGAAATATTAATTCCTATACTTTCGCAGATCGAGTATCCTGGGGAAGAAATTAATTATCGACACTTTGCAATTAAGATTGCTGTTAGAATTATACGTTATAATACCGGCACTTCTATAGTGAAAGAAATCTCTCGTAATGTATATTATAAATATTGATTATACTCAGGAATATTAAATTCTCGATGTATGATCAAAGTGAAATAGTATCGATTTTTTTTTTCAAATAGAGAAAATTAAGAAAAGAAATTGAAATTAAAAAATATTTTATTTGTACTCCAAAACTCGAAAGATTTTTTCACTAAATGGATTGATTAAATTTTTTTGAACTTACTATGCTGTTGAGTAATATGCAATCAAGCGTTATACAAATGCACGCAAGTTCAACAAATTTTACTGAAAAGTTATTTTACAATTTTTAGTTTCTTTTTCACCCAGCGTCAGTTGAGTTACAGTTATTGACATATTGTGGAGAAAACTCATTAACGAAGGAATTTTACTTATGCCGAGAAATAATGTAACAACAATGAGGCGTATGATGAGATATAACGAGCTATTCATCGTCTAAATTATTATGCATTACACACTCATTGTACGTAAACTGTGCGCAAATAAGCTCCATTCACGCGTTAGCGGAGCCATTCGAAATGCCCATATCCTTGAAAAATAAAATTTATATATAACGTTCGATATTCAGAATAAATCTAAATATTATCGTTTTGTTTTGCACCTGAGTCTATAAAATCGCGAACAAACGAGCCTTGTCTTTGACTCTCGATTCGATAATTTAGTCTCAAATAGATATTAATAGTATAGATATCGACCGTTAATAGGGTTCACATTTGTTAACAATAGAATGTTGACCGTTCGCATTAGCATTCCGCGAAGGTAAATCCGTCAAAAGCATAATGGTCTTCGCTCTAAAACAGATTTTGCTCAGGTCGACGGGGGACATCAAGAACTTATGACACGTGTGTACGATTTATTCGCATAGTGGATCTGAACGCCGAGTAATATCCTGCACGCGTCTGTCTTTTCTCTGTGTCGGTGCAATTTGTCCTGGATGATGGCTATGTACTATTGCAATATCACCAAGGACAACTTGCGACTCCCTTTTTTCCCGCCTTTTTTCTTTCCCCATCCGGCATGCGTTACCGCAGATTGTGTCGGTCACCGATATAAAGCGGACGTTGGAACAATTTTTTACTCTACTTCGACATGTGTTGCGTGAAAAATTCTCTCGTTCGAAAAAAAACCACGTAGTTTCGCTGGTTATAACCATGTATTGAATTTTTAAACGCCACAAAAAGATGTACTCGGTTGTTTTATACATTGGGATTCCTCAGTCTGTGTACGTTAAATTATATTGTTCTACAAAGAAATTTAATATTTCTAAACTAATTATATCATTAACACTTGGGTTATTTTAGTACAAGTAGATGAATATTGAGTACTTTGAATAAACTGTTTCTTGGGGATGAACAAATTTGAAATTTAAAGCTTTTGTGTCAAATTTGTATAATATATGTAAACCTTTGATAATTTGTATAGGACAGCTTCTGTTTAAGTATAAATTCTAACTATATCTTCCTCTTACTATTTATATCATTAAACATCACGCTTGGATTATTTTATTGCAAGTAGATGAGTATTGAATACGTTGAATAAACTGTTTCTTGGGCTTGACAAAATTTGAAATTTAAAGCACTTGTATCAAACTTGTATAATATCCATAAACCTTTGAAAATTTGTATAGGACAGCTTCTGTTTGAGTATAAATTCTAATTATATCTTCCTCTTACTATCTTGAGTATTATAGAAGGTAATATGTACAATATAAATTAGTGAGAAATTCTTGCAAATTTTGTCGTAAGCATGCAATAGGGATTGTAGGCTACGTAACAGGCTGTAGAATGAAAAAGTGCACTCACCTGTTCTGCAGATTCGGTGATGAAAGAATGGCAATATTGTATGCTGAAGTGCGCTCTAGGTTCTCGAGCGAGGAAGCTGAATTGAGCGTGCTGAGGTTCACAGGTTGCGTACGAGATGCGCCTTAACGCGTGCGCCATTTGCACGCACTGAAAAATAAAAATGAGCGTTACACTTTATCAGTATCCTACAAAAATTCTAACAAAACTTTTATTACAATATTATATTCGGTGTATGGTCAGAAAATTGACAGAGATTTTCATTTAAAATTTACCTGGAAAAGAAACAAATCTTTTTAGATATTTATATTTATATTTTTTAGCTATATGTATACTCCATTATATTCTACAATTAATTTCAATTATTAATTATGAAAAATTACAAAAATAAGATTCGATTTTCTTCCAATTCTAATGAAACTTTTATTAAAATATATATATCGATATTATTTCTTATAGGGTCATAAAATTAAAAGCAATTTTCCTTTAAAATTTATCTAGATAAGAAACAAATTTGTCTAGCCATTTATATATTATCTCCAATGTATTCTACAATTATCATGAATTCTACACTTTCGAGAGAGACAAAAATAACAAAAAATTCCATTTTCTTAACAATATTCTGAACATTATTTATTTCTGGCACATTATACAAAAGCTCGACGAAATCAAAGTAGAATAGATGGGGTCTTTCCCTTGCAAGTGTGACTTCAATTTTTATCACAATAGTGATAGTGTTGGGTGGCGGAAACGAGGGACAAAATTACACTTGAGTTCTCCTCGTTCACAAAAAAATCTACTATCTAAATTTTAATCGTTTCAGGAGATTTATTTATTCCATATAGATAAAAATTTATTTCCTTCCTATTTATAATCTCTAAACCTTTTTACAAACAATTGCATCCTTTATTTTCTGTATATGGGTTATTGATGATATTAAATTTTTAAAAATACGCGACGAAGGATAGAGAAAATACATTTTATCTTGCTCTACATCTGAGGAGTGATTTCACCTATGAATCCCCATTCAATTCTAAGAAGAATAAAGTCATATTTTGCGTATAGAATCTTTTATCAGAAAATCATGAAATTCAATATAAGTGAAATATTAAATCCATTAAAAATAAAACAAAAAAAATAAATATTTCAGAAGCTTTGACTGTTGAAAACGAGAAAATCTGAAGCATTAAAAAAATGATAGCGAGAAAGTTGTGCAACGTCGTTAGCTTTTCCCTGAGCAAACTTTGCCCCGAGACATTCATCACTAGTCGGTAGGTCAACGACGTCTCCGAGAAGAAGTTAACACTTGACAATTTACACACGATGTTCCAACGATATTAAAAATAATCAAGCGTCGTTAATTTCACGTGGCGATCGCCTGGGTCCCGGCGAAGATCGTAAATCCAACGAATTTTCACCGTGTTTACCACGTCGGTTCTCCCTATTTGCAAAACGGATGGTAATTGCGAGCTTTCCTGCCCTTTTGAATACTAAATAAAAACGTCTACCGAATAATGATCCGCCACTCCGAACGCACGGGAAGGTCAGGAGATCAAAGCAGCTTGTTACGTTTTAGTCTGGAGATACCAGGAACATTTCTCAAGCATAAAGTAGCGACGTCTCTCGCGACACCGTTCCCGCGCGTTATCTTGTGTTATATATTGCGGGGCTCGTTGAATTTCTCTTTGCGATTTTATGCGTTCTTACTAGTTTTCACCGTTTGCCAGCTTCCGCGCGGCTACGACTCCTCTCCGCGCGAGTTTAAAAACTTTGGTGCCCCTTTGAAGTATATCACAACGTTCCTCAAACGTTGGTTTATCCCGCGGTTCTAGCCAACGGTACTAAAAAGTGTACGACCACTGTTTGTAAAACAAGCAAATTCTACGTGTTTTATGTTATAACGGTAGTAAAAAGTCCACGTCAACGTTCGAATAAAAGAAAGTTGCATTTTCTATGCCACTCGATCAAAGCGTTCAAGAATTTAATAACGTGAAACATCCTTTGCTTCCAAACACAATTTTCGCAATTCTAACAGTAAGTTTTTAGGGGCCTCTTCAGGATAAAAATTTGAAAAATATATAAGGATAAATATCGAAAAAGCTTTTTGAAACGTTCAACGTTGCTAGAACTTGCGAGGAATAAATTTCTGATGCATCGAAAAGCATGGAAAAACTATTTTATTGTCAAAAGAAAAAGTAAATTGTGTTTATGCATCGAACAACACGTGTGATTTCTATTAAAGAAACAATGGTGTCTATATATATAAAAATTTTAATACGGGAACTGGTAAACTGCTGTTTCATTATTGCTTTGTTCTCGCTAAATCGAATGATTAAACAACGTTAAATCAATGTGTTCCGTTATGGAGCATAATGATTGCTGCACGGGTTGTTTTAAAACTGTGCATGAAAATAGCATCCTCATTAAGCTGGATAACTCATAAATATCACTTAGGTACATCAAAATGTCAGAGGTATCGCTTCTCGTTACTTGAAAGACCATTCTGACGAGTGTGGGATGAGATTCAAGTATGAGGAATTATATGTTTTCAAGGATAAATGTGCGAACAATAGACTCTTCCTCCAACTTTCTTTGGCAATATGAGCAATTTTACAGAATCAAATCTAGGGAATTTCAGGTTTATTTTTAGGTAAACGCAATTGTAGACCATTATACTTTTAACAAACATTTTAACCTCATCGGTAGAAATATTAATTTGTACAAAATGGTATACATATTTCTGATCAAGTAAGTTTTGTATAGCAGTATTTAATATTTTTATAAAAAACGCGAATGGACTTTTTACGCAACCTAACAAGTACACTTAAGTGGTATAAATATATATACATTAATGGTATTATTCCCTGTGTATTGTTAGGAATTAATTAAACGAACAATGCACGAGTGTACTGGCGTCGATTTGAAACATTGAACACAGAGTTAGTAAAAATAAAGGGTAAAAGCATTAGCAAACAGAAGAAAAGTTTTATTCTGCTATTATAATGCATGACTGCATCCCGCACGAGCAATGCACCAGAAAATTAAAAAGTTTAACCGAGAAGTTGTTACTCCACAAGCATTAACCGAAGCGATTACCATCTGTTTCGTAATTTACTTAATTAACCAGTAATGATCAAAAAGTGAATTTGAAAAAGCTATATCCGATTATTTCATATAAATTGGAAGCCTTTTTTCTTAAAAGTTACATGCTTATGTGACGAAATGTAATGATTTTGTTGGTTTTATAATCTTGAATTTATATATGGTAGGAGTACATAAATTCTTTGAAAGTAAATAAGTATAATTAAATTAATTGTTTCGTTACATGTTGATTGTAAATACGTGCATAAATATTTGTTATATTTAAACTACTGTTACTACCTTTTAATTAGAATGAAGAACTTATATTTTAGTTATTTACATTCAAGTATTTGACATTTGATAAACTAAATATCACGTGTCAGGTCAATATATTTTTAGTATTTTAGATATACTTGAAATGCATAATTATTTGAATGTATATGTGTATGAATTTAGTATTAAGAACATGACTATAATACCGACGCATATCAGTTCGAATATTTGACCTGAAAGCATTTAGTTTCAATGATCGTCGGCAGAGCCCGCTATTCACTACGATGCACTCATGTCCGATGGAATAGATTCAATGACTAATATTCATATATTCGATAAATAGTATTTATAATAATACCACTTATTCAAATAATTCGTTAATTGTTTTGCACCGAAAATTAAATTTCAGTCGCTAGAAAGAAACAATTGCAAAGGTAGAACAATTATTTTCGTTCTTTCCTAGGGATAATATAAATTAAAAATAGCGGCAAGAGAGAACTTAGAATTCATTATAGAAAAAGGAATAATTTATATCAGCTCGCGAGCGTGAAAGAAATAATTTTGTAAAAATCCAAAAATAGAGTGATACATATTTTGTCCAATTTTCAAACACTTTTTCATTTCATTACAATTTAATTTCATTTTATACATATACTCTGTGTTTGACGAATATACTCGTCACTTTTTTACTTTTACAATCCAAAGTAAGTACACACTTTCAAAATAGGGCTAGAGAACAAATAAAGAACTAGTGTGTTTCAAACGAATGAACAATTTTGATACAGTAAAATAATTCTATAGAATGTATTTTCGAACAATGTTAATAGAACAATTTTAAAACCTGCAGATTTCTATGGGTGTACAATGATTCATAAATGCATATGAGCCTCCTACAAGGCGCTCCAATTTACAGTGAATCAAACACCCATGTCTAATCCTACTTTTGCTATTTAAAGAAAAAAGAATTATTCCTTTCGCAATGATGAAAACACGAGCAGGGTGGAAATGTTTAGTTTAAGTTGTCATGTAAATAATAATTCTTAGGCTATGCACCGCGAAACAGATGCCTTTGGCGTTTCTATTTGGGAAGGCAGTTCGATAATTAGGCGATTAATTCGACAACGGAGGTAGGGCATTGTTATAGCGCTAGCTCGATTAACGCAAGGGCACCTAAGGACGAAAGGGAACGAATAAATCGCAATTATTGGCCACTTCGGGCCGAGATGAAGTTTCGTTCATCGAATTCGTTCAGCACCATAGAACTTTTAATGGCTCACAGCGCAGTGCGCCGTTCGCAGAAAAATCTGGCAGGAAGTTCGTCGCTCCTGCCGCGCGAAGTCTGCTTCCGAAGTTTCAAGCGATTTCGAGATATTGTTCGACTTCGTCGCGAGTTATCGAATAGTCAGACCTCGGACTTGCAATTACGAATGCTAGCGCAACCCCATCGTTTTAGAATATTATTCATAATATTATCCCGATGACCTATTTCAGCAAACGTGCAGTGTGTTTGGAGTACCAATTTGTTTAAGACGAATACAAAATTACGAAGCTAATTAACTTTTATACTTTAAACTCTCAGTTGTAATGACAAAGGAAAAGTATACGAATTTTGTTAAATATCAATTCTAAATCTTAAAATTTGATTTTTAATTAAAAATATTAAGCCATTTGTATTATGTGGAAAAATGTTTTAGAATTTTTATTTATTTTTCTTAATTTTTAAAATGCATGTTATGTGATCCTATCTGTTACTGTAAATTTTTTGCACGCATCCATCATTTTGACGGTTGCTTGTG